AGCAGCACCCCCACGTTCTCAGGCCTTCAGCCTTGGAATGAGAGTTACCTCATTGGCTTCCCTGGTTCTGAGGCCTTTGGACTTAAAGTGAGCCACGCAGCTGTCACCCCAGGGTCTCCAGCTTGCAGACAGTCTGTCAAGAGACTTCTCAGCCTCTATAATCACATGAGCCAATCCCCCTAAACAAATCCTCTTTCATATATATATATATATATATTCTATTGGTGCTGTGTGTCTGGAGAACCCCAATACATGGTCTGACCTGGTATATCAGAGCATAAAGTGATAAATAATAAAATGCAAAAATAATAAAATGCCAATAACATAGAGATTCCCAAACCTAAATATAATACCCTTTCATTATCAAATTCACAGGGACAAATTCAAAAATTACAGCTCCTTGCAAATGAAAGTCCCAGAATGTTAAACTCCAATAGAACTAAAATCCAAAATTAAATTCCCTTATCTAATGAGTTAAAATTCCAATATTCTTAAAAGCCAAAACCAAGGCCAGGTGTCATGGCTCATGCCTGTATTCCCAGCACTTTAGGAGGCCAAGGCGGGGGGAGGGGGGTGTCTTGAGGCCAGGAGTTTGAGACGAGCCTAGGCAACATATCAAGACCCCCATCTCTACCAAAGAAGGGGAAAAAAAGCCAAAAACAATATTCCCCAAATTCTTTTTTTTTTTCAAGAGACAGAGTCTCAATATGTCACCCAGGCTGGGGTACGGAGGTGTGACCATAGCTCACTCGAGCTCCAGGGCTCAATCATCCCACCTAGCCTACCAAAGTACTGTGATTACAGATGTGAGCCATCACATCTAGCTCCCAAATTCTTATTCTGTTCAAACTTTTTTTTTTTTTTAAGTCAGAGTATCACTCTGTTGCCCAGGCTAGAGTGCCATGGCATCAGCCTAGCTCACAGCAACCTCAAACTCCTGGGCTCAAGTGATCCTACAGCCTCAGCCTCCCAAGTAGCTGGGACTACAGGCATGTGCCACCATGCCCGGCTAATTTTTTCTATATATTTTGAGTTGGCCAATTAATTTCTTTCTATTTTTAGTACAGACGGGGTCTCGCTCTTGCTCAAGGCTGGTTTCAAACTCCTGACCTTGAGCAATCCACCTGCCTCGGCCTCCCAGAGTGCTAAGATTACAGGCGTGAGCCACCGCGCCTGGCCTATTCTGCTCAATCTTAAGCAGAGTTGGATGCTTTCGTGGATTTAAGCTCCTTTCAATAGCCACAGCCTCAGCTGTCACTTGTGGGAAAGTAATTCTTTTAGGGCCTCAGAAGTTACATTAGATATGCCTCAGATATGTGTAACCTTTACAAATATGGAGATAGTTCCTCTTGTGGGCCATTATGAACAATGCTGCTGTGAACATTCATGTAGAAGTGTTTGTGTAGACATAGTTTTAGTTATCTTGGGTATAAACCAATGGGTGAAATTGATGGGTCATGGTAACTCTATGCATTTTACATTCTCATCAGCAACGTACTAGGGTTCCACTTTCTTCATCTCCTTGCCAACACTGGCTATCTTTTTTTTTTTTTTTAATTATAGCCATCTATAGTAGGTATGAAATGGCATCTCATTGTGGGTTTGATTTGCATTTCCCTAACGGCTAATGATGTTGAGCATCCTTTCATTTTCATGTGCTTATTGGTCATTTGCACAACCTCTTTGGAAAAATGTCTATTTAATCCTTTAACCATTTTTCATTGGGTTGTCTTTTTATTGTTGTTATAAGGGTTCATTATATATTTTAGATGAGTTCCTTATCATCTATATGATTTGCAGATATTTTCTCCCATTCTGTGAGTTGTCTTTTCATCTTCTTGATGGTATCCTTTGAAGCACAAAAGTTTTTAATTTTGATGAAGTTCAGTTTATTTCTTTTGCTGCTCATGCTTTGCCTCACTTTTTAATGGGAACAAAGAGCTAACTGTACACACAAGATTATGACCAGCCCTCACACCAAATCAAGTCAATCCTCAGCCCCAGCCCCAATGATTCTCCCAGGTAAAATTATGTCCTTTATAATCCAAAACTTACCATTGCTAAAGACTATAGTGGAGACTTAGGAGGAGCAGAGTTCAGGAGGTTTAGGCCTTGCCAGCACAGGCCTTGCCTATCAGTCTCTGCCAAATATTCGGAATCCATGACCCAAGAATTTCAACTAGATAGCTTACTCAATTCAGTTGGTTACCTTGATAAGCTGATTATGCCACTATATTGACCATATCTGCAGAAGTCCATCTACAAAATCAGTCTCCCCTGTTCCTCAGCAAGGAGCATACGCAGTGACAGCACCTTCCTGCAGAGTTGAGAAATGTGCACAGGTGGCAGACATGCTCATCAGGTCTTGACACAGCCTTTCATTCTCATCTAACATACTTTAAACCTGCCAATTTCCATGTCCCCTTGGAAATGAGTTTGAGTTTGGGACACCTTGGACTGCATTAAGTTGGATTCTTGTCTGATGGCGCGGCTGCTACCACTCACTCAGGAGCGGGCATATCAGTCCTGTGCCACAGTGGCTGCTTTCATTACTTATAAAGTAGCTTAGCCCTGGGCAATGTCCTGCCTAGGTAAGACTTCTCCCCTTTCCACGTTTGTTTCAACTGAAGGATTACATCCAGCAGATTCCTGATTAGAAACTGCTGCTGGACATTCTGAGATTTGGGCTCCTAGGATCCTAATGAGGACCCAAACTTCAGTCAGGAACCCCTAGAGATCCTGCGTTTCCTCAGCTTTGGATGCTCCAGGCCCACAGTAGCCTTTATTTCTGCTCCATCTTCTGCAGTAATGGGCTATGCCCCTGTTTCACTTTATTCCCTTCCCCTCCACTGACCTACTTTCTTTAAGACTGTTGAATTTCTGCTGGGTGTGGTGGCTCACCCCTATAATGCTAGCACTCTGGGATGCTGAGGCAGGAGGATCGCTCAAGGTCAGGAGTTCCAAACCAGCCTGAGTAAGAGTGAGACACACCCCCTTCCCCCGTCTCTACTAAAAATAGAAAGAATTGGCCAACTCAAAATATATAGAAAAAATTAGCTGGGCATGGTGACACATGCCTGTAGTCCCAGCTACTCAGGATAGTGAATGAAAGGGTAGAAAGAGGTCAGCATTACATCATTTAGCTTCCCTCCAAAGGGAAAGAAACAACAGGAGAGGGAAAATATTCCCCCTTAATTAGAGTTAGAAACAGTACAGTGGTGTGCAGCAACTGGCTGCACAGAACCAACTATTAAATCCTTGGGAAGTTTGCAAGCCAGTTGTTAACCCCTTGGTAGCTTGAAATCAGCCATAGTAGTAATAGGTACACCACATCAAAAATGAGAAAATAACTATTGCACAAATCAGTGTTTTGTTTTTTGGAAAATAAAGTTGGATCCTTTTTTTATGTGGAATACTAAAATTCCAGATGGATTCAAGATTTAAAGAAAACATAAAGACCACAAGGAAAAATATAATCAGAGCAAAAGAGGTCCTTCTAATCCATGTAGACCAAAGAAAAAATTGTAACAGACTAAGTCAAAATATAACTATTAATACATAAAAATATATTATTTATGTCAAAAAATACCACTAACTGGCAAACTACAAACTAGGGAAATTATTAACAAAATACATGACTAAGAGTAACCTGTCAAGAATTCTTACAAATTAGTAAGAAAAAGACAAACATCTCAATGGCAAAAGCCTTGGATAAGTAATTTTAAAAATACAAATTGAGTTAAAAACTAATAAAGATATACAACCACAACGAGTAAGATGTGCAACGTTTGGGGGATGGACACACTTGAAGCTCTTACTCGAGGGGCGAGGGGGGCATGGGCAATATATATGTAACCTTAACACTTGTACCCCCATAATACACCAAAATAAAAAAAACTAATAAAGAAAATTTTTGACATACCAGGTTCTGCCCGTCACCATGGCAAAGAGAGAAGACAGAACACAGCTAACACTGGGAAGGATGTAAAGGGTACTGTGAAAAACTCCTGGCAACAATGGAAGCCAGTATAAACTTTTGTTGGCAACATGACAATATATACTCTTTGATCTTACATTTATCAACTTATTCTAGAAAAAACAATGTATAAAGATTTAATTAGACTATTGTGGCCATTAAGAATAGGCTAAATAATTTATAGTAAATGCATTTAATAAAATACTATGTACACATTAATGTTGTTGAAATATTTAACATGGAAAGGTAGTTACCATTTAAATTTTTAAAAAGACTTAGATGGAGGCTAAAAACAGTATAACCAAATGAGCAAGTTTTCATAAAAATAAAATGTGTACTGAGAGTATACTGAGAACGTCTAAGAGAATACATAGCAAAATGTGATCTTTTCCTTTTTGCTTACTTGCATTTCTACAATTTGCATACATTACCTGTGCATTTTATTTGCTTTTAATAGGAGTTAATAGAAATTGAGTTCAGTAGAAAAATCCTCCTTACAAAACATCAGAGTTTGAAATGAATTTTCTAAGTATAATTTCAGGCTTCTTAAATGTACCAGTTCAAATCAAAGTTCATCAGTTTCTTTTCTTTTTTTTTTTTTTTGAGACAGAGTCTCACTCTGTTGCCCCAGCTAGAGTGTCATGGCGTCAACCTAGCTCACAGCAACTTCAAACTCCTGGGCTCGAGCGATCCTTTGCCACAGAGACTGCGACTGTAGGATGCGCCACCAAGCCCAGCTAATTTTTTCTATTTTTGGTAGAGACAGGGTCTCGCTCTTGCTCAGGCTAGTCTCCAACTCCTGAGCTCAAACGATCCACCTGCCTCGGCCTCCCAGAGTGCTAGGATTACCAGCGTGAGCCACAGCGCCACAGCCCATCATTTTCTTTGGAACAATTTTTGTTTGAGAATCAAATGGTCATGTAAATGAGGAAACAAATAGGCATAAAATGACAGGAAAGCAAGTGACAAAATACCCATAATCTTCATCCCACTAGGTACTGCAATATAATAAATAAAATGACAATTAACAAAAAACATCTTTATTTTAGTCTTCAAAGAAGAAATTCTTTTCTTCTTTTTCCAAGATAATCATGATTAACTTACAAAATGGGTATACATCTTCAAAGTATTTCCCTTTAACGGGAAACTGCTTTATAGGATCTAAATATTAAAAAGTAAAAAAAAATCCATTTTTTTGTCATTTTAAGACAAAACAGAATCTAGCATAAGTCAAGGAAACCCATTCATACTTCAGGTCCTTCTCCTCCAGGAACCAGCTGCATAAGAGGAAAAAGAGTTTATTAATAACACCCTCACCATGTCATCTAAACCCCAAGAGCTCGTCATGGCCAAAAGCCACTTTTGCCTTTTCCCCCTCCCTCATATTCCCATTTTGTCCAGATAGTCAATATCTGTTTATAATTCCCAACATCATCAATTAATACTTAGTGTCTCAACAGTGACTCCTGACAAAATAAAAGATTAAAAAGCCCAAGCAAACTAATCTTTAAGCCCAATGCCTCTTCAATAGCTCAGCTTTAGGGCCCTGACCACAGAGAATCCCCTTCCCATTTTAAGCACCACTGGGCCATGATCATTTCAAGCAAGCAGCATTTCTAGTTCTGTAATCATGCCCCACAAAAATGGGCTAACATCTAAATAAAACACCTTTAATGGTCTTACCATTGTTATATTATTTCCATTTAGCAAAATCTGATCTAATTTAGTAATTCTTCTTCCTTCTGGTGTGATTTCACTAAATGAACAGATAAAATAAGAGTCAAGATAAACAGTGGTAATCAAAGCTAACATTTCAGAAACACTTTCCCTCCCTAAAAAGGTTATTCTTTTTTTTTTTTTTTTTTTTGAGACAGAGTCTCACTTTGTTGCCCAGGCTAGAGTGAGTGCCGTGGCGTCAGCCTAGCTCACAGCAACCTCAAACTCCTGGCTCAAGCAATCCTACTGCCTCAGCCTCCCGAGTAGCTGGGACTACAGGCATGCGCCACCACGTCCGGCTAATTTTTTCTATATATTTTTAGTTGGCCAATTAATTTCTTTCTATTTTTAGTACAGACAGGGTCTCGCTCTTGCTCAGGCTGGTTTCGAACTCCTGACCTCTAGCAATCCGCCCCCTCTGCCTCCCAGAGTATTAGGATTATAGGTGTGAGCCACAGCACCTAGGAGCCTCACTCTTTTTCTTCAACACGTCTATTACTGTTGATTCCTATATATTAAACCAATCTGTATCAATTCAGTTTGTTTTTTTGAGATAGTATCTTGCTCTTTTGCCTGGGCTAGAGTAGCAACATCATAACTCACTGCAACCTCAAACTCCTGAACTCAAGCAATCCTCCTGCCTCAGCCTCCCAAGTAGCTGGGACTACAATGTGCCCGGTAATTTTTGTATTTTTTATAGAGACAGAGTCTGTCTCTTGCTTAGGCTGGTCTCAAACTCTGGGGCTCAAGCAATCCTCCCACCTTGGATTCCCACAGTGCTAGGATTACAGGCGTGAGCCACTGCTCCTGGCCTCAATTCAATTTTAAAAACAGAGATACTGGTCATAATCTTTATAATGAATATAACTGAGCTATCATTTATATTTTGTTATATAGTTAAAAGCTCTTATTATCAGTTCCTTGATTTGATCTAAGCCTTAAGATTCCCAGCTGTTTTTAGTATCTTTTACTAAAGTTTTCTCTCTACTAAATTCCTAGCAATATAGTGATAATTACATTAAGTTAATAACCCTTTGATCCAATTTTATAAGCATCGGTATAAAAAATTTCTGTCTTCAAGGTAATTAAAATACATAATGGTTTCTCATTAATCACTTTACTGACTTAAAATTACTAAATCTGCCTTCATTGAAAAGAGAGTCCCCCCAATTCTTTAATTTTAATACTACTTACAATTCAGTGACATCTTCTAGTACCATATCTGAAATTTGGTGTTAAGAAAAAATATATATACCACATTGAATTTACTCTAGCTTCTGCCTTTGTTCAGTTTTAATTATAATGTTTAACACAATGGCTCAAATTCAAAATGCTGGTAGAAACTTTATCTTCTTTCAGTACACACACCTCTTAAAACATTATCACAAGTCCCTGAGAATAAGCTGATTTTTATTATAATAATCAGAAATACAGTGATTGTATGTCATTAAACATGGAAGAAAACCCTATATCACCACCACCTTTTAAAAGGATACTGACAAAGTCATCAAATCCTAGAAGAGTACCAACGATTTCCTTATCGCTCTTCATAACAATATGAATTCTTGATCCTATACATTTGTCCACAAGCTCTGTGAAGGAGAAAATATTACTCATTCATTATTTCAATAAATATTTGAGTACCCACTGGAATTCTTGCTTGCACAAGGCGAAAGATAAACCAGGAACAATATTCATTCAACAACTTTAGGTCTTATAATACAAATCTCTGTGGAATCATACTTTTACAGAAAAGTTTTTCCTGGTCTCCACTTACCTCTTTGTTGTAGCAATTTATGACTGTGGTTTTGTTTATTTTAGATTATCTGATTAATAAACAAGCGCACATACGCACACACACTCCCCCCCAGACTCTAAGCTCCATGAGGGCAGAGACTGTGGTTACTTTTGCTCATCACTGTGTCCCCAGTGGACAGTATCTGGTATATACTGGGCATGCCAAGAATCTGTTGAATGAAGGAATGAAAACTTTTCAATCACGGCCACGTCCACTAACTCAATCGCTCTTCACCAGCTACAAAATAGACATTATATTCGCCGGAGCCTCTTTCCTGTCACTACTTCCCTCACCCAATGCAATCTAGTCTGTGTCCTCTGACAACAGCTTGAACATCTCTGGCTAGTTTAGCATTATTCGGCACGATGTTTTACTAGTCCACTATTCTCTCTTGCACTGGCTTGTGTGCTGTTTGAAGGCAACAGCTATAGTTTAAGTTTACTGCTAAAACAGTGCCCAGGCAGGGTGTTTGGTGTACAGATGCTCGGTAACTGCTCGTTAAATGAACGAGCTAGTTCGCCGATTTCTCTTTTAAGGCCCATTCCAGACCGCGGTGCTATTCTCAACCAATCAGACACACTACAGAGTTTATTCAAGCCGGGGATCTTAAATGCCAGGTTGAGAAGTGAGACTGCTACCCAAACTCTGTACAGGCCAGTGAGTTCACAACAAAGAAGGCCGACGACGAATTCACCAAGCGTGGACCTTTTCCCGTGACGATCTGGTCTGTGGAGTCAGAAGTCCCCGCCTGGAGGAGCCGTAACACGTTAAACAGCAGGGAGGTCTTGGAGCTGAGAGACGAGCCGCGGAGGGGGAAAGCATTCCCTACGCTCCGCCAGGCGCTGCCTCGGCCGCACCCCCTCGGCCCCCAGCCCTGAGCTTCAGCTCCCTGGCCCCGCTCCCCACAAGACGGTGATTACCTAGCGGCAGCAACTGCGACGGGTTGGTAGTAGCGTTAGCCGCCATGGCTAGGCCGGAAGTGGCCTACGACCATCAACGTTGGGACCGCGACTTTGAAAGAGCGCGCTTCCGCTTTTTCCGCAGCCCGAGCAGGCTCGACCAATCTGAGGCCGAGCGAGCGATCTGGCGGGTCCATGTGGCTCGTGTCCGCTCGCTTTTTTCCCCAGGCGGTGAGATTCCGTGAAACATATTTCCTGTCCACTGAACGTTCTGCCATCCCGACTGGACACCCATCGTGGTCTTGAAGTTTCCCGGAACCGGAAAGGCTGTCTTGACTTGCGAATAATTTCTTCTAACCGGGAAGGCTTTGCAAAACACAGAAACCTTTGAGTCGTCTTATTTTTCCCTAGAAAGGTGCATCCAGACCAGTGTAAATCAATTCGAATTTTCTGCCACCAATTCACTGTGTTGCAATTTTCGTAAAAGCAACTTATTTTCTTAAGGAATCTACTGCTTTTTAAAAAATCCAGTGGATAGGCTGGGCGCAGTGTCTCACGCCTGTAACCCTAGTACTCTGGGAGGCCCAGGCGGGCGCATCGCTCAAGGTCAGGAGTTCGAAACGAGCCTGAGCAAGAGCGAGGACCCGTCTCTACTATAAATAGAAATTAATTGGCCAACTAATATATATAGAAAAAAATAGCTAGGCGTGGTGGCGGATGCCTGTAGTCCCAGCTACTCGGGAGGCTGAGGCAGCAGGATTGCTTGAGCCCAGGAGTTTGAGGTTGCTGTGAGCTAGGCTGACGCCATGGCACTCACTCTAGCCTGGGCAACAAAGTGAGACTCTGCCTCAAAATAAATAAATAAATAAATAATCCAGTGGATTGAAAACCTGCATTTCTTTTTAAAGATTTTTCTGTAGTGAGATTTAAAATTTTTTTTTCTTTTTTTTTTCTACTGTATTTAATTCATCGCTCTTTTTATATCTAGGCTTTTTTATTCAGTTTCCTCAAGAAACAATTACTAACAGCCAACCACCAGATGGCACTCTAAATTATAGGTTATTGTCATCATACTTTGAAATAGTCATGATTTTGCACTTCTGTTTTGAAAAGAATAGAAAGTAAAATTCTCTGCCTTATTCTATCTTGTTAACATTTTTGTATCCTAGGAACTTAAAGCTAAGTAGACTAAACATAAGAGGCCACAAAGAACATCATTCATTCATACAAGTGGTTAAGTACCCATCATTCCTTCATTGAATTATTAGTTGCATACTATTTGACTAGCAGTTTCCTAAGTATACAACAGTGTACAGAGCAGAAGTGGTCTTCTGCCCTTGCAAGAGCTTAAAGATGAGTGGAGGAGAAAGACACGTAACAAATATTATGCACAACATGAAATTTAAATATGTAAAGCAAAAGGCCTCTTAGTTTTAGGGATCCTGGAGAACTCAACTAATTTCAAGCCAGTCTTGGGGGTTTTGTTGTTGTTTTTGTTTGTTTTTGCATGCCATAAATACTGAGCACCTACTATGTGCCAGGACACTTACAAATACACTATATACATAGTTCTAATGTTTACAATCATCCTTTGCGGCAGGTGAAGTTGCTCATACTCAAGAGAAGTTAAATAACTCACCCAATGGCCACACAGATAGCTTGGGAAGCTTCACAAAGGAATTGACAGGAGGCTAGTCTTGGAGGATGAATGAGTTGTATAGGCAGAACAGGGGCAAGAGCAGCATTGCAAGTAGAGGTAGAGGGGACACCATGTGCAATTGCCATGTGCTCACCTCCACACCTCTCTTGTTGCACTTTTCATTTTGCTGTTACCTACTTCTCTAAGTTTAGCATAAAAACCCTTCCCTTACCAAATTTTTTTCCTTAATGACACAAGTTTTTAGTGATTTTACTTTATTGTACTTTATGACACTCCTCCCACAAGTCCTGATAAAATCCTGCTCATTCTTCAAGACCCTGCTCAAATACGAACACCTTCTCTAACTCTTGCAGACTTGGTGGACTCTCTCATTGTCTGGCAGCAATGTTAATAGTTCTCGGAATGTTTTCAGTGTACTTTCTTGTAATCATCTATCAATAGGGCTACTTCAAAAGACTGTTAGATCCTCAAGACCAAGAATTTTGGGAAGCAGTAGTGTATAGTGATTAAATCTAATGGTTTTGAATTAAATGATTTTGGTTCAACCTCTAGCTCCACCACAATTCCTTCTAATTATTTGGCCATGGGCAGTTTATTTAAGCTTAAGTCTCAATTTACCCATTGGAGAAAATAGGGATAAGTTATTGTAAAGATTAAATGAGATAATCCATGGAAAGTGATTAGCATAGGACCTGCCACATAGCCCTCTCAGAATCTTCTGATCCATAGTCAGATGTATTATCCACTGCACCAGTGGCCCCCTCAGTAAGCCCTATAAATGTGAGCTATTACTGCTTACCTTTGTTTCCTAATACTTAACATGATAAAGTACAGAAAGCTAGCATTGCTACCTGGTTTCACATTTATCTTTTTTTATAACCAGACATAAGCCACTTTAAGGCAGCAATTTTTTTTCTTTAATGCACTTTGCCTACCACATTTCCAGGCTGTAGAGTGTAATGAATATTCTTTGAATTGATTCTCACTATTTCATTCATTTTCCTTAATCTTCATAGGGTTCTAAATACAAAGTAGTGCCAAATTTGTTTGTGAAGCCCTTTCTTTTCTTTTACTGGTTTTCCTTTTCTATCCCTATTCCTGTTTTATTTTCACCATACCAAAATGAGAATATGGGCCAAATACAAGACATTGTTATTACTTGATAGAGCTAAAAAATAAGAAAAATATACTTTAAGAAAGTCAATGCCTTAAGTTTTCCATTACAAGAACAGAATGAACATTAGCAATGTTCAATGCCACTAACAAAGAATAAAGAAAGTCTCTTTAGACTCTGAAAAAGGAGCTAAATATAGTTCATTTACACAGTAGAATTAATGGAGATTGCAGGAAGGGAGTGGTTTTATTTTACTGTGTTCTTTCCTGAGGCAAGACACAAAATGGAACAACAGGCCAATTGCAGATGAGGAGTTCATTTTTAATGAACTTGAAAATATGTCCTATCTCTATGTCTCAAGGACTTTTCTACCTTTAGCTCTTCTTTACAGAGCAGACATAAAATATAATGTATAATTTATCATAAAATGTAACTAGACGAGGCTCTTCAATGTACTGTGTTCAGAAAGGCATTTATAATTTAAATGTCATCATATAAATACGACTAAAAGTTTCCTTTCAAAATCATCTTCAGAAAGTATACAGTTATCTCAAATTGGTGTTTCCAATCTTGATAATCTCCTTCCAACACTTTTTAGGTTTTTTGTTGTTGTTTTCTTGAGACAGAGTCTCACTTTGTTGCCTGGACTAGAGTGCCATGGCATCAGCCTAGCTCACAGCATCCTCAAACTCCTGGGCTCAAGAGATCCTCCTGCCTCAGCCTCCACAGTAGCTGAAACTATAGGCATGTGCCACCACACCCAGCTAATTTTTCTATTTTTAGTAGAAACAGGGGTCTCACTTTTCCTCAGGCTGGTCTCAAACTCCTGAGTTCAAATAATCCTCCCACCTCGGCCTCCCAGAGTGCTAGGATTATAGGCACGAGCCACTGTGCCCGGCTCCAACACTTTTTAAAACAAAAGAGAAATTTTATTATTTTCCCAATAGATATTTGTTCTTGTGGACAGTATCTTATTGATGAATTTATTCTATATTAATACAACTCATTTAAAAAGTAACATATCCAGGTGCAGTGGTAAGTGTCTATAGTCCCAGCTACTCGGGAGGCTGAGGTAGGAGGATCCTTTAAGCCTAGGACAAAGGATCTAGGCCAGCCTAGGCAACATAGCAAGACCCCATCTGTAAAAAAAAAAAATTTTTTTAAAGAGTTGTCATTCTGAACTGTTAAATGGGCCAGACTATATGAGATGAAAAAACTCCTGGAAATTCTCTTGCTTACTTTCTCTCCAAATTTTCCTGGTATGTTTGTTTATAGCATTATTTCGAATGATATATTTTTTAAAACATTTAAGGAACATAATAGTTGTGAATAGATATTTTAATCTTACTTTAAAGCTCTAGAATGGAAAGTAACACAGATTTTTACAAAGCTGTTACTGGGTCTCCTAGACAATGAATTAAACAATTGGTGTTCACTGTAAATACAGAGTTCTAAGATGCCCTGTCCTTAAATTTTAAAAACGGTGTTCAGGAAGGCGGGGCCTCGCGGCCGGGCCGGGAGGAGCTGACAGGGCCGCAGCAGCTAACCCGCAACCCCACTTTCTCGGAACGTGCCTGGGCTGCTGCAGCTGGCACCCGGCAGCGCTCAGCGAAGAGGGCTGGGGGCGGGAGATGACAGTGATTTGCTCCCTGCTTGGCCCTCTGCGAGCACCGACTCCCTTCTCCGCGCGGCCCCAGGGCTGCAGACGAAGCAGGGCCAAAGTCTGTCCCTGCAGACAAGGGAAGGAGGCAGTGCTCAGAGCTCCCTACACTGGGTCTCTAGGGAGGACATTTGGCCCCCTGCAAAGATCTGGTTGGAGTTGGAGGTTGAGAGAAAATGAATTCCTTTTCTGAGTTACCTGCAGAGAACTTGACCCTTGCAGTCAATATGACCAAGATTTTGCCTACAACAGTACCACATGGATTTAATTCCACTAATGACCCACCTTCAATGTCAATAACAAGGCTTTTTCCAGCCTTACTAGAATGCTTTGGCATAGTCCTTTGTGGCTACATAGCAGGAAGGGCCAATGTCATAACATCAACACAGGCCAAAGGACTGGGAAATTTTGTCTCCAGATTTGCACTTCCAGCTTTATTATTCAAAAACATGGTTGTACTTAATTTTTCCAATGTGGATTGGTCTTTCCTATATAGTATCTTAATTGCCAAAGCTTCTGTATTTTTCATTGTATGTGTATTAACCTTATTGGTTGCCAGTCCTGATAGTCGATTTAGCAAAGCCGGACTATTTCCTATATTTGCTACACAAAGTAATGACTTTGCATTGGGATACCCTATAGGTAAGTTGTTTTTTATTTTTCAAGATTTTAAAAAATTCAAGTGGTTTAGGAGGTAACAAAATATGAGCTTTTAATTTAAGCCTTTGTTAGCGGCAGATGCCTACTCTTGTATCTAAGAAATCTTTAATTTTTTTCTCAAATATGCCTAAATTGGGATGAATTATATTTTTTCCTCAACTTCAGAGTTTGAGGATCCTTGAATCATCTACTTAAATGATCATATCCTAGTAATCTTTGTGAGTAGTTTTTCTAATAGTATTCTTTTTCTTCTCAGTAACTGTATATGAAAAGTTTAATTTTCAGAAGGGATTTGATTCTGATTTAAATTATGTAAAAAGAATAGGCTTATGTCTGTATTAAAATAGTCATTATTA